TCCTCTCCCCGAGCCCGGGCGGCTGAAAAGCGCCTTTGTGGCTGGAGCTGCTGAGTCCGCTTCTCCCGGCGCGGTCCCGGCCGCGGCCCGGGATTCTCGCTCGGTTAAGTCATCCCGGAGAATGGCCATTGTGCTGCGCGCGGCCCCCGCCGCCCAAGCCTTTTTCCACCAGCCTCGGCCCACAGGCTTCTCCTGGCACCTCTCCGGGGGCACCCAGGCCACAAAGGGGTTAATGCTAGGGCCGAAAGGAGGAGGAGGAAGGAAGGAAGGAAGGAAGGAAGCGATGCCCGGTGCCAGGGAAGGCGGCGAAACAAAAGATGAATCAGGCGGAGGGAGGGCCGCCAGGGCCCGGGGCGGGGGCCCGGCCCGAAGAGGGGCTCCTCTCGGGGAGCCAGGCCCTCCGGGTTCTGGCCTTGCCTGCTGCTGGGCCGAGGTCCCGCGACAAGGAGCGGCCGGGGGCCGGGCCTCGCAAGTGGGGAGAGGGAGCGAGGTGGGGCACCCCTCAACCTCGGAAGCGCCGCCACGGCCTCCCCGCGATGCCCTGCAAGGGTGGTGAGACTGGCACCTGCACCTCGCAGAGCCTGGCTTCCCCGGCACCTCCGAGGTCGGGGGGCGGGGCGGCCCGGAGAGCGAGGAAGAGCGGAGGCTCCGGCTGGGGTCCCTGCGGCCCCCGTGGTGGTGGCACTGACGAGGCAGGCAGCGCCCCTTTCACCCCGCCAGCGCTGCAAGGAGCGCGTGAACGCGCTGGCGATTGCCGTGATGAACATGTGGCCCGGCGTGCGCCTGCGGGTGACGGAAGGCTGGGACGAGGACGGCCACCACGCTCAGGACTCGCTGCACTACGAGGGCCGCGCCCTGGACGTCACCACGTCCGACCGCGACCGCAACAAGTACGGGCTGCTGGCGCGCCTGGCGGTGGAAGCCGGCTTCGACTGGGTCCACTACGAGTCCCGGAACCACGTGCACGTGTCGGTCAAAGCTGGTACGCGAGCGCGCGGGCTGGGGCCGCCCCGAGGGGCTCCCTCCGGGAGAGGCCGCGCCGCGCGGGCGGCGTAGCCACCC